ATAGGCATTCGCTGTGAAAGAGAGTGTTAGTGCACATTTCATGAAAAGTACATTTCTACATATGATTTTTCACCTTTTTTTTTTTTTTTTACTTTTTATCACTTTATCATCAAAATGTGAATTTTAATATGAACAATTATGTTTCACATGTTATTCCATCATAACTAACTGAAAAACCTCTATGACATGGACGTGCATATGTGTGTTTGCATGAAAAACCACTTTCCTGAAGTCTAGTTGCTTGAAACGTTTTAAAATGCATTTTCAATGCCTAATGTGTACACTTTTCTAATGTGTGATTAAGTACATAATCATTCATTGAAGAAGGAGTTTGTTAGTGCCTAATTGATGAAAAGTATCATTCTACACATGATTTTCAGTTTTTTGACTAACCACTTCATAAACAAAATATGAATTTTAATATAAACAATACTGTTTCATATGATTTTCCATCATAACAAAGTGAAAATCCTCTATTAAATGTGTGACATGTGTTTGCATGAAAACCTGCCTTTGTGAAGCCTCAGTTGCTTGAAACTTGCTACTACACATTTTCAGTGCCTAGGTGCACACTTGTGTAAGCACATAGACATTTGTTGAGAAAAGAATGTGTTAGTGCATATTTGATGAAAAGTACCTTTCTACACATGATACCTTTTTGATTTTGTAACACTTTATCATAAAAATATGAGTTTTAATATAATCATGTTTCATTTGGTTTTCCATCATAACAAAAACCTATAATAAAAACCTATAATAAATGCATGACATGAAGTGCAGATGTGTTTGCATGAATATGTTCTGCATGTTTTCTCATGTTTTTTTCTTTTTAAGGGCACCGCAGGTGTAATTTTTAGTGTTGTTGTTGTTGTTGTTGTTCTTCTTCTTCTTCTTCTTCTTCTTCTTCCATACATAGGAAAGTTATGAAATTTGGCACACAGATAGGGGACAGTCTGAGATGTTACCATAGCAAATTTGGAGTTGCTATCTTAAACTCTCTAGTGCCACCAACAGCTCAAATTTCCACTCATGTTTATGCTAATAACTTGTGCTAATAATGAGACAAACCCCTCCTAGAATGTATATGTCATAGCCATCATGACTTGAGGGTACCTGCACAGTTTTGAAACAGCACCACCTAATGCTCATGAGATATGAAAAAAGCATATTTTTGCTTTTCGGCCCATTTGCCCGATTTTCACCAAATTTGACTCAGATCATCCAGTCCATATTGTTAAGTTATGGATTTTATGTTGACAGACTTAAAAACTGCCATGCAGTGTCTTTGTCCATCATTGCTCATGAGGACAATTGTGTATCTTAAAAACATGGCCACCATCTGCCAATCACATTTCAGCAGTTTTTAGACAAGTTTACTAAAGCCTGATCAAAGCAAACCACTGTAGACATATTTGCTTTTAGGGCCGAGAAGTTTTGGCAAAATTTGAAAAAAAAAAAAAGAAGAAAAGAAAATCCGTTACCAGGTGGTGCTGTCACGGTTTACATGGATGTTACTTGTTTTATATAATGTAGTTTTTCAAAGAAACACAAGGATCTGAGGCTGTATTTGTGCAACTCTTTGATGTATTGTGATGAAAGTTTATATGTGCCATTGTAAACATACCTGCTTATAGCTTTTCTGAGTTTCATCCAATGGTCATGCATCTCACTTCTTTCGATTCCTTAGGTCCTTCAGAAACCAGTGATATACACTTTTCCACAGTAGGCCATTTTGTCTGTCTGCCATTTTGAGTCATGTCAAAAACCTACTTTTTCAAAGTCCTCCTTCAAAGTCCCAATCTTCACCAAATTTCGCACAGATCATCACGAGAGCATGCTGGCAAAAAACTTTTTGATATCTCAAACCATTTCCATATAATCGTCAAAGTTGGCATAAGCGCAGCATAGTGTTTTATGCAATATCTTGGCAACAGTACTGCCTATTGCACTGAAACTTGATATATAAAATAATGATCAAGCTCTGATGCTTGCTTAGAGCAAGACTCTGTCGTGCTGGGCCCCATAATTGCTGCTTGCAGCTATATTTATATTCTTGTTATTCTTATGTTGGAAAATGAAATGAAATATGATTGCTTATATTATAAAAATGTATATTTTGATAATAAATGATTAAAAGGTAAAAAAAAGCAAAATAATATGTAGAAAGGTACTTTTAGCAAATATGCGCTAACGCACTATTTCCTCAACGACTGCATATGTGCTTCCACAAGTGTGCGCATTAGGCACTGAAAATGCACTTTAGTTTCGAAGCCCTAGTGCTTCATGCAATCACATACATGCATGTCCGTCTCATACCATTTTTAGGTTTTTCACATTGTTATGATGGAAAAACACTCTCTTTTATCAACGACTGCCTATATGCTTACAGATGTGTGTGCTTAAAAATGCATTTTAAGTTTTAAAGCTTCAAGATTTTCATGCAAACACATACATGCGTGTCATACTTTTATAAGAGGTTTTTCACATTGTTTTGATAGAAAATGAAATAAAATATGATTGTTCATTTTAAAATTAATATTTTGATAATAAAGTTTTAAAAAGTCCAAAATGTAAAAAAATCATGTGTAGAAATGGACTTTTCATCAAATATGCTCTAACACACTGTTTTCTGAACAAATACCTATATGCTTACACAAATGTGTACATTAAGCTCTGAAAATGCATTTTAGCAATTTTCAACTAGGGCTTCAGAAAGCAGTTTTTCGTGCAAACACATTCATGCACATCAGTGTCATACTTTTAACAGTGGTTTTTCAAAGTGTTGAAAACAATTGATCATGGAAAATGATATGAAATGTTGTTTCAATTCATATTTTAATAATAAGGGATTAAAAAGTCAAAAACATGAAAAATCATAAGTAGAAGTGTACTTTTCATCGCTTAGGTGCCAAAAATGCATACACACCGTTTTCTCAACGAATACCTGGGTGTGCATTATGCACTGAAAATGTGTTCTAGCAAGATGCAAGGTGCTAGGGCTTCAGGAAAGCAGTTTTTCATGCAAACACATTCATGCACCTTGGTGTCATGCTTTTAATAGATGCTTTTCCACATTCTTATGATGGAAAATAATATGAAAAGTTGCTTAAATTAAAATTCATATTTTGATAATAATAATTTTTCCACAATTATGTGTTAATAGATACATGATTTGATCATTTTAAAATCTATTCAATTTATTGTGATTTCTATTAGTGCCTTTGTTCACTCATGATCAGGGACAGGGTCACAGAACCAAGGGGTGGGCCCCTCACCACACCAACCACCTCCCCATTACCCCTCCACACCCATCCCACCATGCTTAAGAGTCTAAATGCTAATAAATATTTTAAATGATAAAGACAAGACTGCTTTATTTTCACTGTGATTCACAACTTTTTTATTTGCACAGAGTCTATATTCAGAGGGTCAAAAACAAGCTATTAACATAATATGCAACATATTAACATAATATTAACATAATAAACATAATATTAATATTATGTTAACCCGACCTGCATATATTCTTTGAATCAAGCAATCCGAAATAACCTCTACTCCTAAATAAACTTTAAAATTTAGATCCTTGACACATACAAGAGGGTTTACAGCTTGGTTAAGCTGCATGCTACCATTTATTTTACAAAGCCCACTGATGAGTTTTCATGTTGGCAAAGTCACTGATTAGATCTTTGAATTCCAACTTCATAGGTAGTTGGCTTTCGATGGAGAGTAATGCCAAGCTGTTCAGTCTATCCTGAGACATTATCAATATCAGGTAGTTTTTCACCACTCTCATCTTACTAAAAGCCCATTCAATTCCTGCAACAGTTACTGGTAAAGTGCAAAAAATCCTCAGTGCAACGCACACCTCTCAAAAATTCTCTGCATTTGCATCTTAAATATGGCACTAAGAAGCTCAAAATGGGGACAGAGTAGGTGGAAATGTTGCAGAATAAACTGACTTCAGGTAGAAGCCATCATTTTCAAATTGAGATGTTAGGTCTTTGTTGTATTTTCTTATCAGTGCCTGACGTGTTTTAATTATCTGAGGTTCATTAATTTCTGTCAGTTTCAGAATGGGAGCAAACGTTTCACATATTTCTGCTGTGGTCTGAAACCTTGTGCTCAGTTCTCTAATGATGCCGTCAAGTGAAACAAAAAAGACCTTGTGTTTTAAAGCTATCTCTGCACTATCTTCACTTGCATCATCTTGAGAGCTCTCATCTAGCATGTGTTTTCTTTTTTTGTTTTCATCTGCCTGCTTTGTGGAAATGAACAGGAGTCTCCATTGCTTGGGCAACTAGGGAGGCCTCAGCAAGCAAAGAGTTCCGTTTATTGCGGATGCCCTGTGTTTCTGCAGCGCTTTGATGCTTCAATATTGAGAGAAATATCTCCTGCCTGAAGGATAATGTTTCTTTTCTCAATGCACTGTAGTACCTTTACCCACACAGTGAGGAGGACAATGGAATCAAAAGTTTTGAAGTATGTCTTGAGCCCATTTGCATCAGACCTGGTTTCACTGGCTAAATTACATGTGGTCAAGACAGACACTATTGCCTTAATGATAAAGGGCAAGTTATCTTCCACAAACCATTCTCTTTGTCTTCATGCACACATTCTGTTCTCTGTGTGATATATCAGGTGATGAGTCACAGGTGATGAGTCACAGAATAATAGATAGCATCCCTTCTCTCTGCTAGGACATTGTTGAGGACTCTTTTGCCACAGAGTTCGATGAACTCATTCTGTGTTTCAGCACTTAGATAAAGAACTAATTGCAAGTCCTTTTTTATGTCTCGCTTTTACCAAGTATTCATGCAAAAGGGGATCAAAGTGTGATAACAACTCAACTGTGCCAAGAAAGTTGCCATTACAGACATCATCTAAATTTTATGTTTTGCCTCTGAATGTGAGCTTTCTTGAGGCTAAATGGAGGGTTACAGCCAACAGCCTCTCAAGAATTGCTTTATTCTTCTCTACTTCTTATAGCACCTGCATCCCTGGAGGGCTAGTGGTTAGGCCTCAGCCTTCTCACTGCCATGGCCTGGGTTTGATTCCTGGCCAAGGAGCCTGGATAAAATTGGGGAGGGTTGCATCAGGAAGGGCATCTGGTGTAAAAACTGTGCCAAGTCAGACCAATGATATGCTTTGGTAACCCTAACAGGAGCAGCCAGAAGAAGAAGACTTCTTGTTCCAACTGTTGTTATTCATTAATTATATTATTTATTATGTGTTCCATTTATTATGTGTTCCTCTTCCAAGGAATTAGTTTGACTAATTTATATTGTTTGTGAAAACAAAGTCTTTAGAAGCAATGTTAAGATGTTTAATAAGCTCTGCTACTTAATATTTTGGATATTTAGATAAGACTCATGATCTTGATGGTTGTTTGTAGGATTTCCAACCTAAGAGATCCAGATTTGTAAGAAGATCTGTACATCCTGGTGTAGTGAGGTCTCAAGGTACAGGGAAATTATTATGTTCAGGTCAACGTGCTGGAAGATCAATAATCAAGTACAGGGAGATCTACAAGCACTGAACCAAGTCCAGTTCTGTGTGTAGTGAGATCCACTAGTGCTGATCCAGATACTGGTAAATCCTTAAAGGGTTAGGTTCACCCCAAAAGGAAAATTTTATTATATAAACCACAGTTTATAGTAACCATGTCTGTCCAGCTCCAAAAAGGACCATAAAAGTCTTGTGCACTATATTTCAAGTCTTCCAAAGCCATATGAGTTTATGTGTGGAACAGACCAAACTCTATGGAAGCATCTTGATCAATTGTCTTTTTCCATTTGGCATATTCAAACTGGCTTTTATTTGGTTACTACACAAAAATCATCAACAACTTCAACTGGCTTTTTGGATCTGAACAGAACTCCAATAAAGGTGATTATCAAGAATAATGAAAATTGGTGTGTTCCTCACACAAAACTTTACAGGGTTTTTCTTAACTCTGTACTTAATTTAGTTGCATGGGGTCCCTGAAGGACTAGAGGTTAGGCCACTGTGTGCTCACCGCTGCAGCCTGGGTTTGATTCCCAGTCAGGGAACTGACCCCACTAGGGTTGCATGTGCTGGTCCCAAACCTAGTGTTGAAATGCCATATATATATATATATATATATATATATATATATATATATATATATATATATATATGAAATATTTGTGCCATATACATATATAATATTTGTTTGTCTGTGTTGAAACCAGCACAAGTGACAGACAGTGGTGCACACAGGAGAGTGCATTTAGATAAGTTTTTTTGAACAGCCACTATCAAGCCACTTTGCATAATTTAAACAAGTGTAAATGTTTAAAAAATATGGAAAAAATATGAGTAAAGGATTGTGGTCCGCGAGGTAAAACATGAGCTCATTGGTTTAATGCAATCAGTCTATTCCAACTGTTACTCCAGGTCAAGGGCTTCCATAAATATTTGGTTTATATGTGGGCTTACTTATTAACTAAGTTTAATGAATATTTATTAGTGCATTAATTGTAACTTATTACCTGTTTACACCACAACTAGAACTAGCCCCAGAATACTTGAAATATAGTGCACAAATTAAATTAAAATATAAATTAAATGGCTGGTTTTTGTCCTTTTTGGAGCTTGACTTCTGTGATCACAATGAATTATCGTTGTATGGAAACTGTATAAATATTCGTATATTTTTTTCCTTTTGTATTCTAAATGAAAAATAATAACATCATATGCTACAGCTTGGGAGTGAGTAAATAATTACATAATTTTCATTTTAATGTGAACTGATTCTTTTACTTCAGATCAGAGTGCAAGGAGGTACACACCTCCAGAACATGTTGCAGACAGACCCACGGAAGAAGGAAGAGTAGTTAAAGTTAGTTGTCCACAAAATCGGGTGTTTTATGTGTCAACTAATGTTCTCACCATATTACTGTCGTGTAAGTAATACTGCCAACCAGGCCATATAAGTTTGCAATCAGGTTTTTAAAATATTTTTTATTTTTTATTGATATGATGATTATGATAATATTGTTAAATATATGATAACATTATGATAATATTGGATAAATTCTTTGATGTTAAGATGCCTTAAACGATGTATATTTTTAGCTCAAATTTGTCATTTGGTATCCCGTAGTTTAGGCTCCATGCCTGCTATATGTGGACGAGTCCCTATTCCTTCACAATGAAGAGAACCTGCTGGGTGAAGGTGCATTTGGAGGTTATTTATAGGAGGTTATTTATATATAGGTTATTTTCAGAGTACTCCAGCTGCCATAAAGAGGACAACAGGACTTCCAGATCAAGACAGCATGAAATTCTTCTCTCACTGTAAAATTACTATGAATTATTTTCACTAATTCTATTTGATAATTAAATATGAATTTAAATATGAACCTTATATTATAAATAATAGTTGGGGAGAAAGGAAACAATAGGCAATAACAACATAATGCATTTTTCCTGTGTGGTAGTTATACTGTTGTTATTGTTGGAAAAATTTTAAAAAATATTGTTCAACTCATGGCAGCACCTTCCTGCTGGCCATTAAGTATATACATGGTATAAACCTGGATGATGCACTACACAATGACAATGCTTGTGTTAAGGTAAAAATAAATTTTATTATTGTTATTTCACACACATTTTTCAGGTAACATTTGTGAAAAATTGTCATAATATTTAATAGTAGAGGATAAAGATGCACACACACCTAATACGTCATGAACAGGTGCTGAATCAAGACATAAAGCATAAAAATACATGTAAAGAGAGAGATCTGCACACTGTTAACTTATTCCCATTGACTGATTAAAAACTAACAGTGTTACTAATCTCGTAATCTTCATCAGGCACACATCAGTAAGCAACAATTCTTTCTAAATAACTCATAGCCGATTACATTGTGTCTACCTGTTGGTTCTGATCACTTAATGAAAACATAATAATTGAAAAACTCACACGTAAAGACTGTATATATGATAGTATGAACATGTTATGGTCCATTTTTTTTGTGAAGGTTATGTTGTTTTTTTTTATGTAGCAGTTTGCAGTAAGAGTTTGCAGGATTGCAGTAAGAGTATTGTCGCTTTGGAAAAAGTCTGCTAAATTAGTAAATGTAAATGTTATTGTTTCATAATTTCATCTAGCTCATTTAGAGCATTTGTTTCAGAACCTTGTGCATTTTCTCCTCTAGTTGGCTTTGTTTAGGGATATATGAACATGACAATCACACTCAGATCCACACCAAAACAGCCAGACGTCTCTGTTCGATTTCAAGTGAACTCTGGAGCAGTTAGCTTCTGGAGAGAAAGCAACCCAACCCAGTTAATCTGGAGCAAAGGTTATCCATCCCCCTGGATAGACAAAAGCTATGAGTTACAAGCATTCTGACAAATGAGGGAACAGTGTACTCATATCTGACTTGTATTAACAAATTTTTTTTTTTTTTTTTTTCTTAATGTTGCCTTATGAAAGCAAACTGAACCATGGAGAAAATGCAACATTGTAACAATCCTTGTTTCCTGAAAAAAAATAAACAAACTACAGGTCTGAAGTGTGTAGTAAAAACTACATAGTGGTAAGAAATAGATTTTCAAAAAAATAAAGTAGAAATAGATTTTCAAAAATTACTTTTCCAACAGGGTTTTCAGAACATAGACCTCATCTGCCAGTTGTTGAACAAACAGGCGTCCACCCCAAACGCGCATCACTGGCTGACCCACTTATGCTGTGTTGGTCTGGTTGGAAAGCTTAAACAAACAGAGCAATATTTTGAGAGGAAGTCAGCCTATGAATGGTTTTCTTGTTGACTCTAAACTGGGATAGGAAAAAATATTTTAACATTGAAAAAATTACACACTTAAGTTCCCTTCATTGTCAAACAAAAAGCTTTTAAAGTTAAGACTTTTGAATTTATGTTTTTCTATTTCTTTGTTCACTTCATTAAAGGTGGTTTGCATCTTAATATATGTTTTGACATTTTTATTCATTTGGCATCTTTATATGGCTTTTTCTTTGTCTGATAAGCAGCTACAAAATCCATGTCTCATTGGCCAGTAGCTGCTATATTTTGGTAGCCTCTGCAAATGTGGATGGTATGGAAATGTCTCTTCTTTCAAGGACTGTGGTGAATTTCTCCACCAACATGAGGTAAGCTGCCAAAGACCCACTGATCTTGATGATGGGAAGTTTGTATCTTGAAACCTCTGATGTTGTTCTGATTGCTTTGTTTGCCACCAACAAAGTCTCATCTATACCACAAACAAGTTTTTCAGTATACTGTAGGAGGTCGTCATCTACTTTGCAGAGAATATCAGCAAAGCCTGCAGGAAGATGCAAATTTCTTTTAAAGTTAGCTACTGCTTTTCTGATCCATTTTAATTTAGATAAAAATACATACCTTGGGGTGGGGAAGTTAAGAGAAGGTCTGGTTTCCTAAACGGACCTGAAACATTCTGCTGCTTGTGAATGTCATGAGTGTTCCACAGTCTTTGCTCTATGTTCAGCTCTCTCTCAAGAATGGGAAGGTGTGTGTGTTGCAGGCAATTTCTGTAGCCCAGCATGCTTTTGTTAATTTTTCATTAAATGTGAGCAGATAAATGAGGACTGCCAACAAGTCTTAACTTACAAGTGTACAGGATTGTCCAAATCAAGCAAGCCAGACTCCAACATGGCCTAAAAATAAATATATTTTTATAAAGCAGCTGCAAATAAAAAAGAAAAATGTCTTTTGACTAATCAGCATCAGTGAACATTTGTTAGATATTCCAACTCACAGACAAAAACAAATAAAGAAGTTCACCTCAAATGTACCTGCCATTTTTTGATCCATGTTTTTTCAGCATGCTGTTGAAGCATTCACCTTGCTAATAAAATAAAATAAAACAAAAGTGTTATTGCCCCAGTTCCAAAAATTACCTTTTATCTGCATGGATTTAGAATAAATGCTCACATGTCTGATTATCTACTGATGTGCCCTCTCTGAAAGAATCTCGTCCTTGATCACCAGACTGCCAGGAGTGAAATGCCACTTACATCTGTCCGACAATAAGGTTTTCCTTTCCTATGTCTGCTC